GATCTGTGTTCTTAGATTTCTCCAAATTCCAGATGATAATACTGTAACTAGAGTCCGTGGGTTTCTGAGTTTGGCTGGTATTAACAGCCGTCGAGACCTTGTTGGTGAACTCGGTTACTGTTTCTTTCCTACGTTTATTTTGCTTCTTACCTGTCGGCACCAACCAAGTGGAGTCAGTTTCTTCCACTTTGTTTTCGCCGCGACTAGAGGCCATTCGTGCACTAGACACGCTGCGCTTTGGGGTGGCCATTTCACAGGCTGGTGTTGCCATGCTGGCACTACTAGCCCTTTTAGATTTCCTTTGTCGTTTGCGCTTTGTCGCAACAGATATTTGGGCACTCTGTGCCTCTTTTGCCTCTGAAGCTTCAGGTGATGATACACGCAAGATATTTGACCCATCGATTTCAACACAACAAGCTGGAACATTTCCACTTCTATAAAAATAAGAATGATAGGTTATCTAACGACCTTACTTTCCTTTGAAATGCCGATCTAATTTAACTATGAATATATCGAAATTGTTTTAAGAATGCTTAGTTCCTATAAGTGCTTTTATGCACATTTCCGGTAAAATGCCTAGTAGGGTTTTTGGTGTTAGTCACATTGAGATAATAAGGTTAGTAGTGCCTTGTTGCCTATGCTAATCTTTGCAATATTAATCTCCACAGACATCTAATTTCTCTGTGTGAGGATCTAAATTCCGCACGTATTTTGTTCTTTCTCGGTTTGGGCACATCTTTATGGTGACCTCTTAAGTAGTGTATTTTAGGGAGAGAAGATTATGATAGTCAATCCCTAAATCACCCTTTAATATACGGTATGCCAAATTTGAGTCACCTCTCCTCCTTCGGTATGATAATGGGGAGAGATTTAAGTGCTCCATCCTCCTCTCATAAAGAAGGTATGAGATACCACTGACTAACCTGGTTCCTACCCTGTGTACTCCTTCCAAGATATAACTCCATGAAGAATGAACTCGTCGCTTGTATGTAGTATTCTAGGTGAGGCTTGACATTTTGCATAGAGTATTTGGAACATAGACCCGTCTAATAGTTTGAGAACTCTTCGAAGTGCCCATGGCACTCGAAAAGCCTTAGATGCGGCTGTATTACAATTCGCAGTTGTTCTCTACTCATGGCTGACAAAAATTCCTAAATCCTTTTGTCCCTTAACATCTGGCAGCTCTGTGCCCCCCAGGGAGCACGACGTGTAAGCCTGTGACCTGAGTGTATTGCTGCACTTTTCGAATTAATTTCCAGGCTCCAGAGGTTCAACCTTTCAGCTAATTTATCTAGATCACTTTGTAAGACCGACTTATCACTATTATTTACAGTTTCCCAGATCTTAATGTCGTCCACAAATAAGAATTTTAGTCAGTTCGTTTATGTATAATAGGGACAGCAGGGACCCAGTATATTGCCCTGAGGTACTCCACTCAATAATGCTTTCCATCCTTCCAATACACCATTAGCCCTCACCTGCCCATTAGGTAATCCCTAAACCACTCATGTGGGCATTGATCTAATGCAAAACCTTTTAAGAAGACCTCGATGGGATACTTTATCAAATGCTTTAATATGATAGATAAAAACAATGTCCAATGAAATGATTTTATCCGTGGCTTACAGTGGGTTTGTCAGACAGGGTCGTCCTGGTCAGAATCCATGTTGTTCCACAGCCAGTAAGTCATGCTTCTCCATGTAGGCTAATAGCTAATTCCTTATGATTTTTCCTAAGTGGTGGTCTACCACTGATAATGTTAGCCCTACGTTTAATATACGATAAGTTTCTTTGGATAATGTACAAAGTCCAGTACTAACTGCCTCCCATACCCTATATGACTTTTATTGACTGGCTGGATTCAACATAGAACTTGGCACCGAAGTGCAGCAGTTCCAGTTGCCACGTTCCAAATAGCACACAAAGGTAGACAGGAAAATGAGAGAAGAGAATCAATAGAGTTTTGACAAGTATAAGAGTGAAACAGAATGAGTAATGGTAGAAAGGAATATGAAAGATTACAGAAACTAAATACATCTGCGCCATTGGTTCTTAGAGTCCCGAGGGCCCTAACCCGGAAGTCTGCATCTCTCTACCTGACTCAGTTTAACTGTCAAAGATTTCATGGATTGATGCCATGTTTTTGTTTGGCCATCAATTACTCTTTTCCAACCTGCACCTATATCAGCTAGTAATACCCGTCGGGGGAGACGATGGTTAGGCATGCGCAGCACGTGACCTAGCTATCTCAATCTGTGTAACTTTATAACCTCGTCGATTGATTTTCCCTCTTTGCCTAACACTTTACGCCTAACGTCAATATAACTTACCTTATTATGCCACCTAACGTGAGAAAGAGATCGTAGACATCTATGATCAAAAACAGTGAACCTTTTCATGTCCTCAACTCATATTGGCCATGTTTCAGAGCTATAGAGAAGGACGGAGCGAACTGCTGAGCAGTATACACGTCCCTTGGTTGATGGCTGGATGTCACGCCTACGCCAGAGACGGTGTAAGTTAGCGAAAGCAGCCCGAGCTTTCTGGATCCGTGATGAGATTTGGTCACCAATCAATCCGTTGGTGCTGATACGACTTCCCAAATAGGTGAAGTGGTCAACATGTTCTATCACTTCACTCCCTATCACTAAGCTAGGAGTTGACGTAATCCAGTCCTGTAGCAGCATCTTACATTTAACAGGGGCGAATCGCATGCCAAACATACGAAGATTGCTGCTCAAGGTGTTCAGAAGACTCTGCATTTTGTTAGTGTCCTCCCCTAACAGGACTATGTCGTCTGCGTATTCTAAGTCTATTAGACTATTCCCTGGTAACAAGTCGATTCCTAAGTCGTTAAGTTCAGTTAAGGATACTTCCATTAGCATATCTATGATGAAGTTAAACAGAAAAGGGGAAAGTAAACATCCTTGACGGACACCACTGGTTGTTATCAATTCAGATGACAATTCCCCATAAGCCCTTACACAGCTACGTGAGTTTGAGTAGAGTGCCTTGATTAGTGCAATGTACTTTCTTGGCACTCCCTTCATAGTCAAACATTGCCATAGAACCTCTCGATCCACGGAGTCGAAGGCCGCCTTCAAGTCAAGAAATATGGCAATTGTTGGACGCCTAAAAGTGTGTCTGTGTTCTAGGATCTGTCGGAGAGTGAAGATATGATCTATGCACCCTCCACCTGGCCTAAAGCCCGCTTGATTTTCCCTCGTTTGTTCCTCCCGAGTTCGGCTTAGTCTGTGCATGATTACTGAGCCTAGAATTTAGAGACTATGTTCGTCAGGCTGATTCCTCTATGATTATCACATGAAGACTTGTCTCTCTTCTTGAATATTGGTATAATAAGTGACTTATCACAATCTGATGGAACCGTCTCTGATTCCCAGACGTTACCTAGTACCTTAGTTAAACTATATACTAGTGTGTCACCCCCATATTTAAACATCCCCGGAATAATTCCGTCGGGTCCTGCCGCTTTGCCTCGTTTCAGATTACAGATAGCTTCTGTGACCTCACTTACAGACGGCGGACCAGTGTCTATATCCCATTTGGGTGTGTGCTGGATGGCGGGGAGGCTCAGTGTGGCTGTAGGCAAGTTAAATTGTTCCTCAAAGTGTTCTTTCCAGCGTTCAAGGCGTCTATTAATTAATCATACGCTTACAAAGGTCTCGAATTTTGTGGTAGTCCATCCGGAACTCCTCTTTCCCTATCATACTAAAGCAGTCCCATAAGTTCTTTCGCTTTCTTAATAACCTCCTTACTTCATTACTAATCCAAGATGGTTTATGCGATAGTTTCCGAGGCGTAGACCAAGGTACAAAAATTTTTGTGAGGCAATCTAGTGTATTCCCGAATCCTACACACACTTCCTCAACATTACAATTTGTTTCAGTTGACCAGTCAGCTAGGGTTGCTGCACTTCAGATTGCAGGTATATTCGCATTCCAAATGTTTGGATGATGATATGCGAGGCAACTTTATGCGTTGGCTGTTTGTTATAGAGTCATTAGCTTAGTATAGAGAAAAGTTCACACTGTAGAATAATCACAACCACTTACTGCTTGCAAAGCTAATTTCTTACCAACTACATAATCCGAAATTGCCCAGAATAGCATTTCGGTTTGTATATTCTAAACGACTTGTTTGTTATTAGATTAGGAATCACAATTAAATTTCCTCCTAATTGCCGATTAGTTGACTGAGATTCTCACGTTTTTGATAGCTCCACGTATACCTAAGATGGATCTATTCAAAGGGTTGTGAGACAACATTACTTTGTGTTAATAACTAAGAGAAGTAGCATCCAAATCAGAAACTCTGAGGAGGAAAAACCTACCAGTAGAAATATACCGTTATATACCCAGTTCAAATATTTGGAAATTTTTGGCTGACACAATTTTCCAGTAAGCTAGTTGTGTAGATGCAGAAAGAAACCTATTGAATCAAGTTCCTAATGAAAGGCGTTTCGATCATCAACCTGGTGAGTATGGCAAGACAGTGATGAAAAGTTATGCGTTAACGCAACTAAAATAATATTTTCATTTTACGCTTAATTGTGTAATGACCATCTATATTCACCAAAATTCAATGCAGAATGAATGCTGTGACTAACTCGGTGTGATTATTGTGTTTCAGAAACAATTGTTTCTTGTGGGTAACATTTCGACATTAGTGTCTCATTGGATCATCTTACTAAACTTAAGAGATCACTAAGGTGCACCCATAGCTTCATTGCTCTGCGTTGATTGCATATTTTTGCAGATGTTTCAAACCATTCCAAAAATCTAACAACTGTTAGCTATAGAGTGAATAATCTTAAAAAAGTTATCCGACTTCACCTCTATTAATCTGTTTGACCAGTGAATACAACCACTGCGTAAGTATGGATGCTTATTTTCTTACCGTGATGTTTAAGTTTTTAAATTCTTCAAGTTTTGGATTCTCTGCCTACTTTATATTTTCTATGTATAACGAAAATTTTGTAGGTTCAAATCATCCACACGATTGCAATTCATCGAATGAAAACACTAGCTGTAATTATAAGCAGACTAATTTCTGACTGATCTATCCAAATATATATAATGTTTATGAATGAGGATATGTTCGATGATGGAGAGTTATCTGTAGAATATTCTTCAGACGACAACTCCGAGCCTAATGTTGATCTGGAAAATCAGTACTACATGGCTAAGTCGCGGAAAGATGACAATCCAAATATGGCACTATCTGAGTTCCAAAAGGTTTTGGATATCGAAGGGGCTGGGACCAAAGGTGATTGGGGGTTTAGAGCATTGAAGCAGATGATTAAGATAAACTTCAGACTTGGGAGATTCGATAACATGATGGAAAATTACAAGATTCTTCTTACTTACATAAAATCTGCTGTCACTCGGAATTACTCAGAAAAATCTATTAACTCAATCTTGGATTATGTGTCAACGTCTAAGCAAATGGACTTGTTGCAACGCTTCTACATTACTACTCTAGATGCACTCCGAGAGTCTAAAAATGAAAGGTTATGGTTCAAAACCAACACAAAACTGGGGAAACTTTATTTGGAACGTGGTGATTATATGCATTTACAAAAGATTGTTAAAGAACTACGTGAATCTTGTCAAACAAATGATGGAGAAGATGACTTAAAGAAAGGGACTCAGCTGTTAGAGATCTATGCTTTGGAAATTCAAATGTATACAGCCCAGAAAAATAACAAGAAGTTAAAAGCCTTGTATGAACAATCTTTACACATCAAATCGGCCATCCCGCACCCTCTTATAATGGGTATTATACGAGAATGTGGTGGAAAGATGCATCTTCGCGAAGGAGAATATGCCAAATCTCATACAGACTTTTTCGAGGCCTTTAAAAACTATGACGAGTCTGGATGTCAACGTAGAACACACTGTCTCAAGTACCTAGTTTTAGCCAGTATGTTGATGAAGTCAGGAATTAATCCTTTTGATTCCCAGGTTCGTGAATGTTTTTTCATTAATTTTAATATCATTTTACTTTCTTTCACTTTATTTCGCACTGTCTTCTCTTCTTTATACGTGCGTCGTCATAAGCCTATTTATCTAACTTTTACGAGGTTTCTCGGTTCGAACATCAGGTAATACAAATATGGTAGTAATTGTGCTGAGTAGGAAAGCTGCTTGGTAAAAGTTCTTCAGAGGACAAAATATTTATTCAGGAATACTTGTGAATCCGTGAATCGACATATAGCTACATAGTTGAATTTCAACATCAGAGCTGCATACAAATTTCCTATAAGCAGTTAAGAATCATGAAGTTAAACTGGGTGAAAAAGCTGGTAAAATCACCTAATCCGCTTGATGAGTTTATACAACCATGGTGTCCTCTTGTACCTGCACTACTTCCATCCCGACCGATAGCTGCTACCTTGACGTGATGGTCGGCCTTGGACATCTCAGTGACCCAACAAGCTACACTGGCTGGAACTATTGTTCCTGCAGGTCCTACCATGCCAGAAAGGTTGTTAGGATAGCGATAAGACTTAAAGCAGTTACCGGTACAGTGGAAGAATTTTTTTACACTATGCTGGGGGTCTGTGGGCAGTGAACAGGGATGTAACAGCAGTGAGGTGTGCCCCTCAGATGACCAGCATGCCAGTTATGCTGTCTCTCCACTCTGGATGGAGGGGGTTAGAAAAGGTTGACCCCAACAATTGTACATCCTGACTTGTCCTACCGTGGTCCGTAACCGGCGGTAAGTTTACTGATACGGAACCATTCCAAGAAACCAGGTCATACAAGCTGGCCTTGAGGAGTTGTTCCCTGGGCTCTGCGGTCACGCAACACTAACCCTCTTTCTGTTACAGGTACCTGAAGAATCAGCCAACTTCCACGGTGTGGGTGGCCGGGAAGTAACAACCGCTCACACACTTCTAAGAGCACACGAAGCCTCCCCGAGCACCATTCTCCCATATCACCTTACTCCCCTGCTGCAGTTAGTACTATTGTTCAGGCTAGTGAGTCATCTTCACCTCACTCTTTGACCACAAACAACAATGAGAGCCATAGGAACACCCTTGACAACCTCTTAAAGCCACCAAACCAACTTCATATAGGAGCATTCAACGTCAGTACCCTCTGCCAAATCGCACAACAGGTATCACTAGCAAGAACTCTAGCATCTCCAGCCATGGATGTATGTTGTGTCTTGGAGATACGCATACGCATCATTTACTTAAACCCCACCCAGCCAACAAGGTGAATCTGCAGAATTTACTTTAAGGGTGTCAGGAGACCTCACAGCTATTTCGCGAGGACTCGCAGGTGTGGGGATAGCATTGAGTGTCAGGGCAGACAAATCCCTCCCTGAGTGGGTCCCAGTAGATGTACTAATGGACTTAAACATAAGTGACTTCAGCGATTCGGATATTAACTTGTTACCACTAGGGATTAATCTCGTTGACTTAGAATATGCAGATGATATAGTCCTTCTAGGTGAAGACGCTGAACAAATGCAGACAGGGTCTTCCGAACACCTTGACAGGCAGCAATCTTCTCTAGTGTTTGGCATGCGATTCGCTCCTCCTGTCAAGTGTAAGATGATGCTACAGGACTGGACTACATTGACTCCTAGCTTAGAAATAGGAAGTGAAGTGATAGAGCGTGTTGACCGCTTCACTTATTTGGGAATTTGCATTAGCCAACGCCAACGGGTTGATCTCTGACGAAATCTCAGCACGGATACAGAAGGCTCGTCTCGCATATGCCAGTTTACGCCGTCTCTGGCGTAGACGTGATATCCGACTTTCGACCAAAGAGTATGTGTGCTGCTCAGCAGTCCGCTCCGTCCTCCTTTATGGCTGTGAGTCCTGGCCATTGAGAGTAAGTACATATTAGATAATATGGATGAATGGGGCTTTCGGTTGCTTACACTAGAAGTAAGGAAAAATTAATATATGTAGCATGTCAACCGTCGTCAGCTGCTTCTTCAGTTTTAGATATCAAGCATGAATTCGTTAAATTTTGGCTACCATGATCAATAACGTAAATTGATAGTTTGTCACGTTACCGTGACATTATCAAAAACCGGATTTTCGCCAGTAAATTTCTTGACGAAGTGCAATAGTAATTCGGAACCTGAAATACTACTAAGAATTGAACCGAATGCTCCCTTTTCGTAACCAACACATAATACTTAAACAGTTTATTGCTTTTTGTTTATACACCGTTTATTTATCAGGAAACGAAGCCGTACAAAAATGACCCTCAGATCGTGGCTATGACGAGTCTTGTAACAGCTTATCAAAATAATGACATTGTGGAATTCGAGTCCATACTGCGACGTGAACGTGATTCAATCATGGAAGATCCTTTCATTCGCGAACACATTGAAGACTTACTTCGTAACATCAGAACTGAAGTTTTGATTAAATTAATTCGTCCATACACCAGAATCAGGATACCTTTTATCTCACAACAATTAAATCTTAGTGACCCTGAAGTAGAAAGCCTTTTAGTTTCATGCATTCTAGACAACACCATACAAGCACGAATCGACCAAGAACATCACATTTTGATGCTCAATACAGAAGCTACTTCAGAAGCTCGCTACCAGGCCCTTGACAAATTGGCTCTGCGGTTACGCCACTTACAAAGTGCTATGTCTAACAGAATGCCGATTTTTAACTGAAAGACAAGCTTCCAAATCCCATGAGACACTTGACGAAAATCCCATTTAATTGCACAGTAACCCTACGTTAGTGTAAAGGAAATAAACAAAACATCCATTGTAACTCATTATTTGTACTTTGTTACTTACGAATTTTTTCATCATCTCATGAATACATACATCTACTACTGAACTTTGAGATAAATTAATTTACTAACGCGTTTAGATAATAGCGGTTCAACCTACTATTGGTCATTTAGAGTTTCCTGAACCAAGCTATAAGTTAAACTTATTATACGAGTGAGAGATGGGACTGGGTAGTTCAAGTCTGTGCTAGCCGACTGGAAGTGAACTTGTCACTTATCCCTAGTAGAACGCCTAAAGTAATGAGGGGGTATTTCCATATTCTTAATAATTGATAATATGGCGAAAAAACACATGAACTAGTTAACTGGTTCAAATCACCTGACTTTGGAAGTTCGATCTCAACATTCAACTTGTGAAGTAAAAGCAATGATTTAACCCAAAATAATGTATAATCAAAACCGTAACGGATTCAAAGAGTTGCACACAGATAGACTATACATACACGAATTGTGTTAGTTCATCCATCAATTGGTAAAAGATACAATGTAGACTGTGTACAAACTAAACACGATGCATATGGTTTGTCAGTAGCAACAAATCCAATTATTGGTTCATTGGTTGGTAGACTAACTACATGTTGTGATGCTACGTGTACAAGCTGTTGTTCTTTGGTGGGAGATGAATTATCCGTAATACGCTTACGGAGTTCCGTATCTTTTGCATTATTTGATAGAGGTTGACAATATATGTAGATTCTTCTCGTGAAATCTGCAACAGCCACAAATTTTAGTGGAGTTTCGTTAAATAAGACCGGACTAGAAACGAATCGACTCTCTCTCTTGCTGGCAAGAACATAGCCGAATGCTTGCAAAGTCGAGACATGTTTCCAAACATATTGGTCTTTATCTGAATTTGTCTTCATGGAGTTAAAATGACACTGCGGCAACCAAACGATTCCATCTACATCCTGACGAATACAGAAAGCCTGAGTTGCATTCGATTTCGAATTAGCACAACGAATCTTGAATAACCACTGATGACTGGACAAATGAACCTAGGCAAATAATATTGATGGAAGTTTTCGATAATTGTATAAAACTAATGAGGTGATTTTAAGGTAGTTAGGTAGACATAACGAATTGCCTGACTATATGTAAAATAAAGGCTTCTAAGTAACCAGAATCGTGTTACTTTCACATTAGAAATTGTGGCAATTGATAAGTGATATACCTGAGTTGGTTTGATTTGATAATGATAGGCACGACCGCCAGTAGCAAGCAGAAAGAACAATACGTATTGCTGGAGGACAATTTTCAGCAAATATTTCGTTCTTGTAATATAAATTGCAAGGTAGTTAAAATATCACATGGCGACTCAATATTGACAAATAACTGCAATTCAACTACTCACGCATGGTCGTAGTGCTTCAAAAATGAGAATAATCATGAAACCAAATGCGTAGAAATAGGCATTAGTATACCTATCACAAACTGGTTATAATACTAATCAATCATTTACATGACGGGCCACACTTATTATGAGAGGAAGTCATCAAGCCTAACTACGGATACGTGAGAGCAAGCTGAGAGTCACCGTCAAATCAATGAGCCGCAGCTTAACTGAAGAAACTCCCAAACCTGTCTAAGAAGTGAATCGAAAGTTCAAATTGCCTTGTACATACGGAGACAAATAAAAAGTTTTGTTTTCGTGTCTAAACGAAAACTATGAAAGCATAAAATGACTACCTGATGTGTACATTTAAGAGTTTCATGATCAAACCGCTGCAACACTAAATCAGGATCATATTCACTCATAGGGAAGTCAACTTCTTCCAGCTGTCCAACGTTGAAAGGTGGTTTTGACATTATAGTACCCTCGACATCTGATTGATCTTCCACATCAAGAGTTTGCGCATACCTTAATTTTTCATCTTCACGTGAATCAAGCAATAAGCGAGGCCAGTACTGAGTGGTTTGCTTGTTGATATGCACTTCGATGCTAGAAATAAAAAAACAGGAGCGCTTTGGGGTACCTATACACAGTTAAAGACGCATACAAATTATAGTTGCACACTATATATATGAACATACCAGTTAGCTTTACGATCGTAGGTCCATGAAGATGTAGGTCTCACTGGTCCATATAAAGTTTGATAAATTAGTATGATTGGGTCATTATTGACTTTCTCAGATTCGTTGGTAGAAATATAAGAGCACAATTTCACGCTAAGTATTTGATAATCACGAGCTCCTTCACAAACTGGAGTAATCTGCACCAAAACAATATTTGGGTCGTATGATGACGGTAATGTTACGTTGTTTAGTGTAATAGCAATGCTAAGTAGATTTAAATCCATATCTTCATCGGTATCAGTTTGCGACCACGTAACAGAAAACCTTGTGTCCTTTACAGAAGCAGAAATCTTTGTATCCACAGCTTTAGATGCACCACCTGTACAAGGATAAATACAAACCATCAGAATTCAACCTGGTTAACATCAGTGAAAGTAGGTAATGACATACAACAGTGTACCAGGCTGTGTACAAGTTTGGTTGATATTAATACTCTTTAGTTTTCCTCTGTCTAGCCGTCCGAATACACTTCTTAAAACCGTATAAATAGGTATCTCATATGAAATAGCGTACCATTATAATTACTGCCAGGTGATGATAGCATCAACAATTTCATCGATTCATTTTCATTTCGAGATCGAAATGCAGACAAGAAATCAGAGGCGAAGTTTTCTCTGACATCTAGATGCCGCTACAGTGCAAGTTAAAAATGTAGGTGACGTACAAACAAGCAGTTGCGAAATAATATACGGACCACCTCCTTGGTAGTTAGAATAATTATGTATTCTAACAGCTATCAAAAACCCGAGTTTTCAGATACTAGCTTGTGTAAGAAAAGCCACGTGACTTTTAAGTTGTGCTGTAATATCTTATTGTTACAGTATTGCTAATTAATCGTATCTAAAAATTCAAGGATTCCTCCACTACATGTTTCTCATCCTTTGATTCCATAAAGCTACAACTTTCAAACTGTTACAAATTTCGTAAACAATAACCGTTTTGAGAATAATCAGCTCAGAACATCAAGTGTTATTTTGTTTATCACTATGCAAAACTTACATTCGTTGACATCTGCCTTATAACAAAGTGAATTTTGAGAGTCATAAATGGCGTGAAATTTTCTTTCAGAGCATATGTGAAGTGCTGAACAGTCACCTTCGAATGCAGCAAAATCAGGGAATGAAGAGGCAACAAGTTTCTGGTGTCGAACCAAGGACCAGGGTTCATAAGATGCTACAAAGGGTTTTTTCAAATAATAATACAAGTCAACAAATACACAAACGTTTGCATATTAGAAAACGAGCCATACCTAGTGTAAGCATATGGTGCTGACTATTTTAATACTGACTCTTTAAAGTTAAATGTAAACTTTTTACTTGAAAACATTTATTTCCCGTTACGAATATTAAAACAAGCAAAATAGGTTAATAAAGCAGGATTTAATGAATTCATCAAGTTTCGGTGGAACTCTTCAGTTGAATACTCTACATACAATATATATATATATATATATACTAATGGGAATACATTGAGATAGATATATAATTTCTTTCTCTAATGACTAACTGTTTATCTAAGCGATGTAATGAAAGCGTAATGTATTTTGTCTTTATTTCAATCTTCCATACTCGCTTCCCCTTATCTATTTGAACATGACCTTGCCTATCGACGATAGCCATTCCATATCGAAAGGACACAGCTGAACACCTTCAAAGACTATTTGCTTCATATAATATTAAAGTCTATGTCAAACCTTCTAATTCTCTGGAGAAAGCGTTGGTGCATGTCAAAGATATAGTTCCCAGAATGTCACAAAGTAATTGTGTTTATAGGATAGTGTTCAGAATGTGATGCACGCTATATAAGGGAAAGCACTAGGCAGGTGAAGGTCAGAGTGAATGAACATAGACTATGCACGAAACGTCCACCCAGAAATGAAGTAGAATTAAAAAGTCTGGAAAAAAGATCGGCTATAACAATGCATGCGATAGACAGCGGACATAAGACTGATTTCGACAACGTCGAAATTCTTGGAAGAGGATTTCACTCACATAAAGAAAGATTGACTTCTGAAGCCTTGCACATTTTAACCACATCGAATGCAGTGAATAGGAAAGAAGGGCAAACTCTTATGAAGCAAGACAGATGAAAAAACAACAAACACTCTGTGAGCCTCCATGACCTTTTAAAACATGTAGTATCATGTTTATCACATACGAATTCACGTATTTTCCATATGACAAATAACATACATGCACACACACTCATACAAGACTAATCTTTATAAATCAGCTATAGAAGAGTATATACAACAACAATTTGACATTAGTCATTACAAATATATGTGATGACTGCTTACATATTTCTATTGGTAAAAATGTCCATGGACAAATGACCTTCAAATAAACTGACTTCAATTTATGTAAAAAATTTTTGACTATATATTTTGATGATTGATAAAAATCCGAATAAATCTGCTGAAGAAGCTGTGGCTTACGCAGCAAAACGTTCAAAAAATCTTGTTTTAATTTTCTTAACACGCTGGGATTAATTTAAATAATTTATAATGAATCAATCTGACTCGGTGTTCAAGTTATTCCAGGAAATTCGTATCACCTACAGTCTGGAAACTTATAAAGGTATTATCATTTGACTTATAGATGGATATTCAACTGTGTCTCAAAAACACATACGCGCTTACTACTAATTGGGCGTAAGTGATAATGTTACTGGTCTTATCACGGTTAAAAAGAAATAACCACATGACGTAATACTTCTGATAGTGTGAATGAATACGATGTGTTGGACACCACTGTGTACATAACAATCCAAATTAAGGTAAAATATAAGAGATTTGTAAAATCGCATTATCTGATTTTGTTTAAATTATTCACTTACACTTTCGTATAAGCGGACTTATTCTACTGTTATAAAATTAATGTCGATATTGGCATCTAGTTTTTTTTTTCGAAACTCATTTTCCGCGACGAAAGGGCGTTACATTCCTCAATTTTTCGCGTCTACAAATGAAGAGATTTCCCAGATAAATAATTTATTTTACTCTGCAAATTGAGTTCCTTCTGTTTATTACAAATGATCGAACTTATACGCATGACGAATTCGAATCTCCACACACCTCAATGAGTATTTCTGTAGGTCTGCATAATCATACTAATCCTTATTTGCTGAATTTCAGTATAAATGCTTGGCATCTGGCTGACTTTCAACTGTTTTCAGA